TGGTCCTAATGTGCTTTTTACACAATTACTCAGAGCAAATCCTGCTTAAAAACAAGTGCACACACAGGTAAAAGGGCTGACCTGAATAATACACAGTGATATGATGGAAACAAGATGTTTCTATAGAGCTTGGCAGGTGATGCTCTGGAGGCAGAGACAAATCAGTGTTGCAGGAGCAGTCACATCAGCACTGCTGCTGTCAAAAATAATGTCCTCAGAAAAAGACAAAACTGAGTGAGACCGTGGCTTTATGCATGAATAAAGGGTGTCCACAAGTCACGATGCTTTACTAACAATTTTTTACAATTTTTTCCCTACTCATGTGCTGTTAAGTCATGCACTCTGTTCCAGAAACCACACTCCATGTTTGCTGTCACCCCCTCCTTACCTGGCCCTCCTCCGCCCGAGAGGCATCGTTCCCAAGCAGCGGCTCTGCAGGAGGTGTCTGGATGGTGACGGACTTCTCAGACCGACTGCCGTCTTTGCTTCGTGGCGATTTGTGCCTGTCCCGACTCCTTTCCCAAACAGAGGAAGAGGAGAACAACATTACCAAGACAGTTTCTGGGGCAGGACCTGGAGCCTGCTACACCTCTACTTGCAGCAGGTGCCCTGAACACCTTAGGTCATAGCACACCTTCCCATTTCTTGATAAATATTGAATCAATCTCAACAAAATAAGCTTTGGAAGAGGTAAAAAGGGACCTTGCCCAGAGCAGCAAACAGAGCCCAGAGCCTGGTGGCTGGAACAGTCTACCCTGCCGTTGTGAGGGGAACAACAGGAATAGGGGTACGTCCCTACCACCTCAGTTTCTCTTAAAACAGCTTCTGCCATTGCTGCACTTGAAAGGCAAGCTTGCATTCTCCAAACAACCAGCAACTCAATTTGAGATTAACTGGTCTACGCCACTCTCCACCTGCAATGAAGTGACTCACAGGTACACAAGGAATTAATCAAGACAGCTTTAGTTCCTGCAACATAGGTTCTTGTCAGCTAGGACCATAACACTGTAGGACAACTGCTGAAGTCTAGTTCCAGTGGTTAATAACTCCTAGTTAACCTCTTACAAAGAAAGCAAGAACATCAAGGGTACCAGAGTAGTGCTTACTTCCAGAGCACCCTTGAAGACCTCATGGCTTCTCATGTGAGAATGTCTCGGGATGAGTTAAGTCCCACCAATCTGCTTACCAATATTTTCCTCCCCCTTCCTACCTGGACAGGAAAGCAGCCTTTGCACCACAGACTCTCACTGTGCTCAGGGCCTGGCTTAAAGCTCGGGAGCATTCAGTATCCCAGGTCTGCTCTATCCATTGCATCTCTCTTGGAAGTAACAAAGCCCAAAGGTTTCACAGGATAAGATTTTCTTTCCACTTCACAGTAAGAGGCTCTAGGATTTTGTATGTTGTTTTGGGAACTTTGAAGGTGTATTTCCACATGGCATTATAAGCTTCAAAGGGCAATCCATATTGAGGGGTGGGGGCATTAATGGAGGGTGAAAAGACAAACAAGAGATGCTTTACTCAATAACTGGACTGTGAGCAAAAAGACTTCACTGCATGAAATAATTCATTTTCCAACCACACAGGATAATTGCTTCTGAAATGCATAGTTATTCTGGACCAGCTCAGTTCTAAGTTGTGGAGACTGCAAGTGGCACACATCTTGCATGTAAAACTAGTGATGATGGAAGAAAAAAAAAAAAGAATGTTTCCAAGTAATTAGAAGATATAGAGCAAGATGGTTTTTGAGGCTGCTGAACTATCACAATAGGGAGAACTTGCTACTCAAGTTCAGAAAAGCCAGACTGCTAATCCAATCAATGCTGATAAAGAACTCCTTGTGGACTCAAGTACCACTCAAATTCTATTACTAAAAAACCAAAAAACAAAACAACAAAAAACCAACACACCAGCAACAGAGTAGCCAGGAGGATGGTGGGGAGGAGATAGGAAACCTTACTGTTACACAACAAAGAAATGGCATCGGAAAACAATTGGCAATTACCGATTTAGGAAGTCTGACACATCTTCTCCCTAGAGATTCTACTACTCCCTTGTATTTTAAGAGCAGAGTTAAGTGATCTTTTCCTTCTGCTGACATTTTCCCAATCTTTCAGGCCATGTGTGGCCACAGTGTGCATCCAACAGCTTGAGTACGATTAAATTAGCAGCATTATTGCTTCCAGTCTCCTCACTGGGTTCCTCATGAGGATTCTCCACATGTACCTCCTCCAGAGCTATGGCCCCACTGATTTTATCCTAGCTCACCATTTTTTTTCTATGGGACATGTCCTACCTTACAGCAGCAAGTAATTAAAAACAAACACTTCCTTACCCTTGTCTGTGGGCTTTTTTGGAGTGACCTGAGTAGTGGGAGTATCCTGAATATGTCGATTCTGTATCCATCGCAGTAGACATAGGGTCTGCACGGAAGCGGCACAGATTTTACTTAGAGGATGAATTCCTGGTGCTCCTGAGGTGGAGTCTGTGGTAAAAGTGCTTTTCCGAGAACTCTTTGCTTCCAAGTCATCAGTGAGGTCTGGTCCTCAGGGAGTGAGTGAGCTTCATTTACAGGGGATCAGATCAGAAGGGAGGATGCTCAGCTCCTCATGACTGACCTAAGGAAAGACAAATGGGCATGGAAGTGCACTCTAAGCAAAGCAAAACAGCATTCCTACTGTGGCAATTCCCTCGCCCTGGCCACACATCACCGCTCATCATACTGTGCCAAATCTGCAAGCTTGTCCTGGTCAATCGCTCTCCTTCCGGTTTAGAGAAATACATGCATTTGTAGAGCTTTAAATAAGCTGGTAACATATTTCTGTTATGCAAAGCCTAGCCCATTCATCTAAAAATCCAGAAGAAATAGCACCTGGAAAAGACAGTGACTTGGAGAGGGCTTGGCAGCCCAGACACAAAAATTCACCTCCAGAAAAAATACCAGGCTCGATTTCTACACCCCCATCTCTTTACCTGTGTAACGCACAGCCCAAATAACCCCAGAATCAGAATGTGGCATTACAGCCACTATACAGGGGAAAGGGGTAGGGAGTAAGGGTGAGATTCCTAGGAGAAATGCAGGAAAGGATCAGACCACCATGTCTGAACCTGCTTTGTTTTCACAAATGCAAGGCGTGCCCATTTTCCAAGCATTAGTTACTATACAATCAATGGCACTATGAGGACCTCCTTTTCTTTGTAACCTTTGCCTCCAGAAGCTAATTTGGGCCTTTAAGGATTGGATTTTATTAAAAATCGTATCTATATATACACATACTAATAACACTGGGGAGAGTCGATTAGAGAGCACATCTAGCATATATGGGCCAACACTTCTTACAACGTATTTCCACTTGGGACAGGAGCTTAAGTCCCATCCATACAGGGCAGAAGAGGGTTATGTTTTTTGGAACATGAGCAGGACGACATCAGAACAATTCCCAACAGTTACACACCACAGCCTCTAAATCCTGTGGGGAAGAGGGGAAAACATCAACTTGCTTTGCAAATCCACACCCTGTGTTAGGTGAGAAGAGAAGCAGAAAGGAGGGAGTTAGTCACCAGTTTGGGGAACCACATGCAAATGGTGAAGAGGTGCAGATGGAGAGGTTGCAGCTATGGACAGAGGTACCTTGACACAGTCTAGTGTTTGGCAGGAAGGAGCCCTCTCACATGACTCCTGCCCAGACTATCGCTGCATCCAGTCAACACTGGTGGAACGGAGGGTGATAGCCATGCTGCACTTTCAGAGTGGGCAAAAGACTGCTTTAAAATTAAATTAGATTCCTCTGTTATTTTCTGCTTACAGCAGTTTTCAAGGTTGTTAGCAGTAAACCACTGCTTTCCGCCCTCTGTCTCCCCAAACACAGAGGAACAACAACAGAAGTTGGTCTTTATACTCAGCCAACCATTCTTTCCAGCCCTAAGATTCCTCCACTAACACCTCCAGAAAAGCCCATGAGCGAGAAGAGAGCTCTACCACACGCAAGCCATGCCAAAGAATGGAGCCTCTTCCCCACAGGGTTCCTTGGCTGGCACTGCAATCTACAGTGATGTACAGCAGCATTCCCACTGCATCAGGAGTTGCAGGTATTTGCACAACACTTTCGCTTGCCAGGGCTTTTGGAAAGGAGAAGGCAGGGGGGACCTTTTGTGCACACAAATTCCCAGCCTCTAAGGCCATATTGTGCCTCAAGAAAGCTCCTTTGCAGCAGAGAACCCAGGAAGGACAAATAAGGATGGGAACACAAGAGCTGGTTTTGGGAGGGGAGGAACAAGGATGGATTTAAACACAGCAGAACATAAAGCCAAGGCACAGCACAGTTTGGAAAATGGCATCATTACTGTAGCAGGAATAAAAATCCCCCATGATTAACACATGATGTTAACACTCGTTAACTCCCTAGACTTGCATACAGCCTGGAGCCTATGGCTCCAGCAATAGGCTGGGGCTCATTAAACCTGATTTTTTTTCCCATCCTGCTAGGCAACCTTGGAAAAATCCTTCCTGTCTGTCCTTCCATATAAACGAGGGTGAGGCCACCAACCCCTGCCTTCAAATAGCACTGTAACCAGCAGAAGAGATGGCTACACAAGAGCTTGCAAAACAGAAACACCCTCATTTGTACAAAAGGTGATAACAAGTATTAAAGGCTTAAGTCACTGACTGCTTGTGTTGTTACTAGACTCCCTCTGAGAACAACCACTGCCTTCACAAATACATGCCACCACATTACAGGAACAAGGAAAACAAGGAGAGCTGTTGGAGCACATCCGTAAGGGTTACACATTTTTCTGAGGAAAAGGAAAGTAGGAAAGTATCAACTCCCAGCCTTCTCCTCTAACCACATCACATAATTTTTCCTCCCCAAATCCCAGAGCAAAAAATCAGAGCGGAGACAGGGACTGGGAGCAGAGCCCCTCTTCTGTCCCTTTTCACCCCCAGCAGCACAGGGATGCACTTCTCTGGAGATGCTGGAGAACATTTCAGCAGCTGTTGTGGAAAGGCTGCAATTGCGAGCAAGCAGTGCCCATCTGACGGTGTGGGTGAAGCAAGGCAATGCTGAGCACCAGGCACAGAAAGCAGGCTCCTGGGAAGACTAACACAGGAACGCCGGGGCAGGCCAGATCATGCCAACTTTCATTTTCTGGGTAAACAAGAGCAATGGTTTTGACACAGCTCTGTGAAAAGCCAACAAGAAGGCCTCCAGAAGAACCTGAGCCTCCTGGGTTGTTGTCAAAAGCAATGCAATGATCCTGGGGACTCTGCATCACCTCCTGGCCCCAGCTGCAGGACACGCTGGTGGCTAAATAAGTCTTCCTGTCAAGGCAGCTACAGGGCTGCTGGGAATAAAATACACTTGCCTAACTTCAGCTAGAAAAAGCAGAGGACCACTGGCTTTGAGGCTGACCACCAATAAGGCTTCCTAGATTTGGTCAACAACAGATAGCCTGGGCTGCTGGCTAGACACCATTCTCAGTCTGAGCATGATGAAATGAAGAAACCAAGGAGGGAGAAGCACAGTTCAAACACACACTCCACATAGCCAAGCATGTCTACTTTACAGCAAGAAAGGGACCAGACTTACTCTAGAAAAAGCTTCTTGAACTACTGAGGAAGAGACAGGGAGAGGACCAAAAGCCAACTAACATGCTAAACTACATCTCCACATTGGAGCTCTTTCAGTGGCATAGACAGATGCCAACCCTGCATTAGCCACCACTAGAGCCTGAGCAAAGCTAGATAAGACAAGCTGTGTGTGTATCTTACATAGTACAACCATATCCAAATGGAGCACATCTTTAAACGCTTCTGCTACTAAATCACTATTAGTGACAACTCTTACCCTGCCTCTCTGGGCAAGGACAACTGCAGTGCGTAAAGAAGTAGCCCCATCACTTGGGGCCTCATCCCTCCAGAAACAAGTGTGAATTGAAAGCCCAATTTGGGCAATTGAAAGGGCTTCACAAAAGATCATTACATCTCACAGGATGCCACTGAAGGCATGGTTTGTGCGCAGAGCTTGTGTGTGAAATAAAGCTCCTGTGGCCTGAGGGTAGAGTTGCGCTGTATTTTGACAGTGACAAGAAAGCTGGTGTAAGTAGCTTCCACCTCCTCATCACAGTTCACCACTCTTGGTTGTGTCAACACAATTCTCAGTGAGCAAGCAGCACCACTGGAAGACAAAACAACAAAAAAATCCCTTTTTTCTCCCTCACCACGCTTTTGTCTTGGATCCTTTCCATGACCTAGTTCACAGCACAACCCAAACAGCAAAACCAGCACCAGGGTGAAC